TTGAGAACCAAATTCAGCCCAAATTGACTGATTTGGGTTGAAATTGAGTTCGAATCAAACTCGACCCGAACAGATTTGAGTTAGTTTGGTTCGATCGGGTCCGATCAATTTAATTTCACAAAATTAAACTCGAATAGGCGTCGAATTGCGTCGAATTGGGCTCGACGACACTCGACAGGGTTTGATTTAATTTGATCGATTTTAATTTAATTAAATTGGATTTAATTTAATTAAATTGAGGCTTAATTTGGGTCAATTGCACCTCTACGATGATCGATTGGGTCGATCGAGCACGATTGAGCCTAGTCGGGCTCGATCGGGGTCGAGTCGATACGAAAATGTTCGTCAACGGTATAGAGAGCTATCTTCATACTTTTTATTGATCTTGTATGATTGGAGCACTATGAGAATTAATTTAATGTGTATTAAAATAATGTGTGTCAAAGGTACATTAATGTTTTAAAGGTTATGTATGAGAGTACTAATTAATATTAACAATTTTTAAATGAACCAAGAGATTTTAATTATAATAGGTTTGCATTAAGAATTTTTTGTATTTATTATAGTGATGCTTGCAAATAAATTTCAACAATGCTTTTGTGTGTGTTTATTTTGATATAGCTCTAATCTATGCAACATTAATTAAAATTAGTGAAAATGAAGATAGTTAGAAATGTTTGGAGAATAAATGACTTTGAATTAGTAGAATAAATATTTAGTATATAATATGTAATTTTAATCGATATGGTATTAATAGTTGTCAATCAATATCATTAGATGGTAAAATGGTCCTTATGTGTGATAAATTTATGTATCTTAGATTTATTATAGATAATAATGAAGATATATATGAGGATATAATTTTTATGGTTAAATATGGATATTTAAAAGAGATAAGTGTTTGAGTTGTATTATGAGATAAGAGGATATCTTGAAAACATGAAGTTAAATTTCATAAAACAACAATTATGACCCGAATTATGACAATAAATATTGGGCATATGATATAAAATTTTAATTTTTATTATATTAGCAATTATCAAAAGATTAAATAATACTTAGGTGCAATATATATATATATATATATATCTGATTTATTATATCAAAAAATGAAGACATGGATGTGTTATAACTTCCAGAGTTAAAGAGTGATTTTTAAAATGAAGAATTGACTCAAGAGTATCATGCGATAAAAGGATATCTTGGAGACATAAAGTTAAATGTTTTAAAACAACAATTATAGTTTTGACTTATGTTTTCATTGTAGGTTGATCTTTAACATTCCCCACTCTTCCATTCATGTATATTTTAATGTGAGACCTCTTTGTTTTCTTATTAATTTACTTATGCATCTTTATTAGAGTCCCTTCATCTACTTGTAATATGCACCCCTTCCACTCTTATATAAGAAGGGATTGGCTTTAGATATAGTTGTCGTTTATAAACATCATTCTAATTAGGAAAACCTTGTTGATTGAAGTCTCACAAACTTTTTGTTAACAACTAATCAATAGCTTTACCTCACCTCATGACAGTTTACTCCCAAATGATGCAATAGTTTGCTCCCCAAATGAAACTCCCGCTCTCTCCCTCATACCTCTTGTAATTCCCTCACACGAAACTAAAATAGAAGAACGATCTCTCCCTATTTGGTATCCCTGCTTGTCGCGTGTCCCCAGTCGAAATTGGGCATAGGAATATGATGTAGAATGGAAAAACGCTTTGCTATGGTAAAGGGACAAACTTCAAATGTCTCACAAAATCTGAAAATTTTCTTCAGGTTTTTATTCAAAACCTGGGAAGAATTTTCAGGTTCCAGTAGATAAGGGTCTAGAGAAGATTGAAGGAGAAGCCTAGCCTTAATAGAGAAGAGAAAGGCTGAGAAACGTGCCTCAGATTTCCAAAAAAATCTGAGAGAAAATTCTCAGATTTGAGTGGTTGGGAATAGAAAGCTGAGAGCAAAATCTGTTACATGTTTTGGGAAATTTCAGCCTGCACTTGAGGAGAAAAGCTCAGGAGAAAATTCCCATCCGCTCTTACGGGCTTGAGACTTCTGGCTGCAGATTTTGGAGGAAGAGAGCTCTTATTTCCTAATTCTCATCTCTAGAATTAGGAAATAAACTAAAGCCTAGATGTGAAAACAAAAATTCGGCCAAGGTGGGATTTACAGCAAACAGCAGGTTTTCCAAGTGTGGTAGGTAGGGAGCCAACAGCAGGTTGGCTTGCCAAATCTTTCCTAAGAGGTGCCTGTTCCGTGGACAGATTTCTTTGAGGAAATCAAAGGAGGGGAGGCGGGAAGCTGGGAGGATTTAACAGGGAGAGGAGGTGACGGGATTGATAGGGGGCGGGTGAGAGAAAAGGGAAAGAAGGGAATTTAATTTCTAAATCAATGATTTGATTTAAGAAGTAACTGAATGCATTGGGGAATTAAATCCAAAATTTGTCATGGGTTTATGATTTCAATTGAGCACTTTCCAAAAATAGGTGAGCTAAATTAGGAAAGAAATTTGAATTTCAAATTTTGAACAATTTGAATTTCAAATTAATTCCTAATATCATGCACTCCTAATTAGGAAATCCAAGGAGAGAGGGGAAAGGATGAGGCCGGCGGCTAGGGAGCCATGGCCGGCGGTTTGTGGTGGATTTTCAGGTGAGGTGGCCGGCGGCTTTTGGTGGAAATGGGGACGACGATGGTGGACGGAGGTAGAGGATGACGCAACAAGAAGGAACCAAGAAAAACAAAGATAGAAACGAAAGATAGAAAATAAAAACCGCGAGCCTCGGATTCTTCCGACGACTGACGGGTGATGCTTTGCCCTTCTCCAAGGGACTTTAATTCACGAGCCCGGACCCATCCTGCGGCTGGTGAAGACTCCGATTCCTCTCCATAGGAATCCCACTAACGCTCTCTCACAGGAAGAACACAAGTGTGGGAAATAATTTTTCATATCAATAATTTCATCTCAATTAACCATCCTATTACAATAGCTAAAGGCCATATATATAGGCCACAACATGAGAAAATAAAAAATTACAAAATTGCCCCTTGGGCTACAACACTCAAATAAATTAACCTAGGGGTAAAACAAGAAATAACATAAAATAGAAACTAAAATGCATAAAATAATTCATAAATAACAACTTAAATTAGAGCCGTTGATTTACGACGCCTCCTGAGATAGATGCGCCAGATCTTCTGGCCGATGTCCGCATCAGAATAGGAATAAAATCCCCTCATCTCTCGCTTTGACATCCCTCAAGACACGCACCTCTTTCCCGTAGACTGCGCACTCTTGCAACTCCGACTCGAAGCCCACACCCTGCGTGCTTCTGCGTCTTGCGGCTCGGCTCCCCTTGCTAGCCCGCACTTCAATCCAACAACTGCACGCGACTTGCCGCAGCCGACCGACCTCACCTACTCGTTCAGTCGAGTCGAACAGCCCTGCGATATGCTCTCCAACCCTCGCACGCATGCGACTTCACCTGCATCGGACCCAATCCCTCTGTTTGTTCACACTCATGCATGCAGGATCCAGCCGAAGCCTCTCGTCTCCATCCCACATGTGAAACTGCGCATTCAACTCCATTTGATCATGCTCCCACGACCGACTAGACATGGTGCTGCGCATGACCTGCTAGTCGGATCACTCGTCCTCCTAACGGCCGACATGAGTATATAAGTGTGCAAGAGTGTTTGTGTAGAAAAAGAAAAAAAAGAAGAATAACAGGTACCTCAATTTGAAGACCCCAAGACTTGTGACCGGACCAATCATAGTCCCGATGCCCTTGGCCATCGAATCTTTGACCCGGTTGGGCGGATTGAAAGTCAACTGCCTTCCCAACCTTCCTTCGTGGGGAGGCATGCTGGGAGGATGTTGACATTTTGAACAAAACAAAGGACCCCAACATAATTAATTTAAGATAAAAAAAATAACTAGAATGATAAAATCTTATATCTAAATCAATATTTTAACCAAATGAAAATGATTATCATTCCAAATGATTGTTGGTTAACACATGAAATCACATATACTCAATTTAATGGTTCAAGCCATGCAGTATTCACTCTCATCACTCTTACAGTGTTGTGGCTCTCAACTTCACAGGGTTTTAGATATGCCGTGCTCATGTTTTTATAAGTCCAAAATGGCTAGTGCCAAAATGAATACCGCATTTTGCAGGCTTATGTCGTGTGATGAATCTTGGCTAATGATTGGATGCGGTTACTGATTTGTTATGTATCTTCTACTTAATTGTTGTACTCTATAAATAGGTAGAATTGGTCTCTGTTGGTGATTTGTGGGGAGTGAGCACACCCTTAATGCCCATGGATTTATCCAACTTGGAGTAATCCCCTCGTCTGCTCTGTAGATTTACATCGCTGCTATGGGAACAATAACCTTTGACTTGCTACATTCTAATTGATGACTCTACAAAAAGTCAACATTTTACTTTAGATTAACAATGTTTAAAATATTTTCATAATTTTCATCGTATTTACTGTCTTAAACATTAATAAATATTGAATGATACGGGCAATTTGTATGTCAAACCAAGTCTTGTTGATTAACAATTTTGTGAAACCAACATGCATTTTGATTTGAATTGCAATTCAGAAATGCTACTTCATCTACTGTATTCAGCTAACTTGGATATTTTGCAGTGCGGACTGTTATTTCTACTTTTGTTGTTCAGGGAATTTCATTTAAGATAATCTTCATTGCAAATTATTCAGTTCGTATTACGGTTTCTAAAATGTTCTATCTATATTCGTGCATATTCACTGAAGTCTGCATGCCAACACAGGATCTTGTAAGATGGATATAATCCACCAAAAGAAAATGAACCTGTAAATCCATGTTATTTTCCAATTGTTGGTGTCATACCGGTTTTGTATTGATACCCTAAGTGCCTACTGATTTCAGAGAGATGGCTTGCCACCCCTATCATTGCATTTTGATTGATCACTTATGATGCATCTTTTTTTGTTCCTGTAACAGGTTTGTACTGTCCCATTATGTCGCTACTTTCCAAACTCTTCTTTGTTATGAACAGGTTCTGACCTTTTTTTTCTGTAGCCTTTAATTATGATGCCATTTTTTTCCGCTAACTATTAAAGTAGGCTTCATGAATCCTTTCTTTTAAATTATACTAATCAGAGTTTGTCTTTGGCTATCCATTTCCACGCATTGGTATTTTGAAAGAAGTTTTTTCTACTGAACACAAGTGCCATGTGTGCACAAGTCAACTCAACCTGGATTCTATTACCCTTTTCTCCATGGATACTATATTTGCTTTTTTCGTTGATATAGCCATTGTATACTTCAGCTTTCTAGAGGTAGGCTTGGAGCAGTGTTTAACAAGGTTTTGAAAACCAGACCGAACATAGAATTAGAAAAAGAGAGTTTTAGGGTTCAATGTTTTGATTGGGGCCGAACCGGATGGCATAATAAATATGAAGATTAATTAAATAAAATTTAAATTAATAACTAAAGAAATAATTTTTATATTATAAAAATTTAATTAAAAAATTTGTTTAAAAATTGTAGTGTATGTTGTAAACTTAAACTTCAACTTATTTATTACTACATCATTTTGGAACAACATCTTGGTATTGTTTATATTTCTTTTTGAGTTTATATGTGGTAAGAACTCACATTAGTAATGGAGCCATGTGAAATGCTTAGTTGTAAATTCTTTGACAAGTAATTGTTTTAGGAAATTAAAATAAAATAAATTATAAATTAATATGTTAAAGTTTATATTTGCCGGTTGAACCGACGATTTTGGCCGGTTCAGTTTGGTTTAATGCGAAGTCAGCTTTTATAATAGACCAGACCTGCCTTATGACCGGTTCACAATTTAATTAGTTGAACCGGCTGATCTGTTCCGATTTTCAAGCTTAGTGTTTAATAATCTTCATATTTGTATGAATTGCAGGGGTAATATCAGACTCTCTGCACGAGTGAAAGATTAATAAGGATTAAAAATTCCATCAAACATTCATCTAAACATTTTTTTTATTACATGAAGAATCTCACTTATATTGCACTACACTTGGGTAATCCATTTTTGTTTTGTTGACCTTGTTAGATTTTGTAGAACCTCCCCTACTGTAACAATGATATTCTCTTATCACTGAGCTCCAACAAGATAACTCTCCATTTTCCCCAACTGTCTTTAATTCTACTAGATACATTCTCGTTTATAATCCCTAGTTCTTATGCATGATACAGAAAGATACTTATGACACTTTGTTACTTTCTCCTCTGTAACCACTTTTTGCTGATATTTTCCGTTAACTCTCTTGTTAATTGGTTAAATGCTAATGCTCCTGATTTCTAGCAGGTTCTTCGTCACCAAATATGCTCTCTTCTTATGACTTCTCTTCGGACAAATATTGAGGTAAATTAACCATTTATGATGATTTTTTGAATTTCATCTTAACATGTCTGCTTATATTAGGAATCTGTGATGAGTATTTGATTTATTCTCCTTTTTAACATTTTATGCACAACCAGCTAGAGGGCGAATCTGGGGAGCCTACTTTCCGGCGGTTGGTCCTACGCTCTGTTGCTCATGTTATTAGGCTGTATAGTGCATTCCTCGTGACTGAAAGTGAGGTATCGTTTATTCTTTTTTTGTTTGTAATATGTGTATGCCTAGATTTCTGCACTTTTGGGTATGTTCGGTATTGCATTTGCCTGAGTGTCTGGATGGTTCTTTAATTGAATTATGCCTCTAGTTCTCTCTTGCTGAAAATGCTTCCTGAAAATTGAGCAAATACTTGATTTAATGGTTAGCGTTGATGATTTAATGTCTGAACAGATAATAAAAAAGCCAAGTTTTTTTTCTTGCTTCAGAATAAGGTTGCGATCAAGAAAGTTGAAATGCTCTGATCTTAGAACATACCCTACATTTACATTACTTAACAATAGGAGGAATCAGATGCCTCACATTTATAATCCAATGAAACTATCAGGCATTTTTTTAAACCAAACTTGGTTGATGTTATTCTGACCCCATGATATGTTCACAAGGTAATCAAATCAGATGCGATAACAACGACGAACAATGGACATAATTCCATAAAAATATTGGCTCACATCTGGACTGCATGAAAGTTTAAATCACTGTTAGTAGCATTGAAATTGTCGCTGGCAACATTGACTGATGGCTTAAAACATTGATGTAGACAAGGGGGGGGGGGGCAAATCAAACCCAAAAAAATTTTGATTTTTAACTCTCCAGCTCATTAATGTCAAGTGGAAGGTTAGCTCATTATGAGCTGGTTTTTAGTTCATATATGGAGCTAAAAATTAGCTAATTATTTATCTTTAATAGACCAAAAGCAGTCGAACCAAGCAATAAACCAGATCAGTTTTCAAGCTTTTCTGGCATATATTTATTTAAGGTTCAATTTTCTAATATTTTTATGGATTTAATTTTATTATTTTTTATAAAACAAATATTATAACAATATAATGATAGGAGTAAGACAAAGATAAATACCAAAAAATGACAAAATTTATAAAAAAAAATACAAAACCCAAATACATATAGCATAAAACCAATGAAAAAAATCATCCATTAATTTACATATAGCATATAATGATAGGAGGACTCCTTTATTAGATTTAAACGAGAATTTGACTTTTAATAGGACACAATGGAGAAAAAAGATTCATGTAGCCGACCCCACGTAGTGGGATAAAGGCTTGATGTTGTTGTTGTTGTTGTTGTATCAAACATACACAAACATGAAAGAAACTGGATGTGATGGAAGGGTAATCTAGTTTCATGAAAATCATCTCTAAACATCCATCCATATTGTCAAATAGATTATTAAAAGTTAAATTCTTTACATCACTTATTGCTTTCTTAGATTCCTTATGGACTTTTTTTATATCTTTTTCAATTTTTTGAGTTTTTTACATCTAAATCAATTTTAACAACAAAGTTTCATATTTTTGATATTTTCTTGCACATTTTGATTTCACCACCTAGGAAAAAATTAGGATTGGATAAATGAAAAATAGTCTGACTCGATTGTCTCAAAATCTCTATGACACTTAATCAATATCTAATAAATCAATCATAAGTATTGAACTGAAAGCGCATATTAACATAGTCATCAAATCAAATACTAGGTTTCTAAATAACTTCTAATATAAATGCTTATTTAGCGAAAGTCTCTAATTTACATCACATCTTCTATAATGTATCCAAAATCATATACCTAAAATATTGCTAAACAGAGCATACACTATTTCACGGGTCCCTTCCTTTTCCCTGAAAGCAGGATATAGCATTGAAGAGCTACAAGCTTAGTAAGCTACAAAACATAGCTAACTTAGTGCAGCATATTTAAATTCAATACATGATTTTTTGATTATTTGTATGAATGATTGAATAAAAAACGATAAGTAAACCTATTACATGAGAATGAAACTAACATTAGATTTCTTGTTTTCATTCTCTAACTCATTCTTAATGATCTATGTTTTTGATATTTCATATCATGCTTATAGGCTTTGGCCTCTTAGCATTCGTACGTCATTACATAGCTCCTTGATACATGTCAGACAATTCCAACTTTCTAGCACAGAGACTCACGAATTCCTTTTTATTTTCTTGATACCGGTCAGACTAATTTAATTTTTCAGTATTAGAGTTGAAAGTTCCTTTTTATTTGCATTTTTCTATGTTGTTCACAAAAGTTAGCCGACCTAATTCGTTGAGCTCATTATTTCAACCCTTCACAATTACTTAGTATTGACATAAACATTTATCATTCATTTCATAATGATGTGCATTAATGATAAAGCATGATATCTGTAAAAATCAATGTTTCAATACTTATCCATGCATCTTATGCTTTAAATTGATGAGGTTAATTTGAAATCATTTAAATCAATGATCATATAATATGCATTGAATTGTGTAGTAGTCTTAAATTTTGTTTAACATGCTCAATATGAATAAAGTTTACAAATACAGACATAACATGTCTAGAAAATCATAAATATTTGCAACATTAGACCTATGAATAATTCAACCCTTATATTAGAAGTTGAATATCTCACCAGAATAATTGGATTCTCTTTATGACGGATTTCCTTATTTTTCTCTTTTTGAAGTCTCGACATTTTGTTAACAACTTAAAAATAATGATTTCATCAATGTATAGTTTTTCTCTAATTTAATGTTAACACAAAATAGAAAATTTATCTTAAAATGCTTTTCTCTTATTTAAGCCTTTTATTCCTATAATTTTTAAGCAGAACTTGATTCGAAGAAATTACAGAAATCCGGAAATCCCTTTTCCTAATTTTCTTCTTTCTTCTTCCTTTCATTTCTTCCCTCTTCTTGTCTTCTTTTTCTTTTTTCCCTCTCTGGTTTCAGCAACTTCAGCCGCCTTCCAGATCCTCCTATTCAGCTAGTTGGTACAGTGTTGGGAAGGAATGGATTAGCAAGGATATAGTGGTGTGATTATTGGTGTATATATATATATAGGGATAAGAATAATCTAACTTTCTAAGCTGCTAACAATTTTCTTTTCTAATGAGAAAGTATGGGGTGGACCTCACTCTACACTCTTGATGATTGGACTAGTCTTATTTGAAAGTTCTCTTTTATAATTGAGAGGGATAATTAATTATAGAAGCGCCTATAGTACTAAATTATAAATCCTTATAAGAGGAACTCTTTGGTTTGTATCACATATAAATATCCAATCCATCTTCTTGGAAATCGACCGAGAATCAGTAGAATATCAAACAGAGACGGGTGATGATTTTCAGAGCCAATAGAGTGCACATGCACTTCTTAAGATTCTTGAGAATCCTATCATTTATAAAGTTAAAAGATACGAAAAGCTTTCCCAGCAAAAGGGTACCTCTGCAACTCATTGTAAGAAATTAGCATTTCTATGGCCAATCCTATCGCTCTCTCCAAAGAGTCAAGCATTGCACTATGCTTAGATATCAACAGAGACGGGTGATGATTTTCACTGTGTTGTGGTGCCAAGTGAATGGATGCAACTGCATTGGTCCTTTTCTGCAATTTGTTTGCTCTTGTGGAACCTCTTCCCCAATTTTTTAACTTTTCTTGTGAGTTTTGCTTCCGTTCTTCTAGTAAATAATGCCATACATTTTAGCTTTCTTACCAAATTTGAGGATGCACTTAACTTATTAAACCTATCGTATTGTATTTATATTTTCTTGAGTGATCGAAGCCTTAAATCCAGAGGCATAACTGGTACTTATACGCGCCAAAATTTCATCATGTATCTCTATTTTTTTTAATGTATCTCTATTTTTTGAATGATAAAAGCCATAAAAGGTTTATTTACCGTCCATGATCATTTATTTTCTCTTGAAGGCATTTTGTAGATGAAATGAAGCTTCAAACCAATAGAGTAAAAATTTAAAATATAAGGGGCTTGTTGTTAGCAGAACAAAGAGTGATACGAGATTTTAATAGTTATCAAGTTATATAATTAATAATGCTGAAGAATATGAACTTTGATGAGGACATAACTTCTAGGGTTAAATATAGAAGTCGTCCTCTAGAGTCTAAAATTTCTTGAAGTTAAGTTTGATTAATCGTGCTTGATGAGTTTTTCATGTCGGGACATAAAATAGATATTGAAAATCAAATTTAGTGTGATTGAAGAGAATGTTAAGATGGAATTTGTCAAATTAGGAAAATATAAAGTGAGAATATTTATATTAAGTAATGGTTGGAGTTGCACTAATTGAAGATAAAATAGTGAAAAAAGGTGATTTTGTGCAGAGTAGAAGTTAAAATATACATTTAGGACTTCAAGATAAAATTTTTAACTTAACAATTTATGTAGTGTTGGAGATGAATGAATAGAAAAGAAGAATTTATGAAGATGACACAAAGTAGTTGGATTAAGGCTAATATTGGTGGTGATGATGATATGATCTTTTGACCAGCTATTTAATCATCATTTATTTTTGTTAGCATAAGTACTCTGTCAACCATAGGTTTACGCAGAAGCACTCTGTCAATCATAGGTTTACATTAAACCAATTAATCTTATTTTCTCTTGTATTTGCAATTTATCATCTTAATTTACACTATTAAATCTTGTTTATTTGAGAGTTAAAGTATTATTCTCTTATCAAATCATGTAGTCTTTTTAGAGTTTATCATCATAGTGCTTTGTGAAATTTCCTTTGGAGTTGGTAAAACAGAATTTCCTTTATGGTTTCCACAGTGATGAAAGGGGTTTTAATAAAATAGAACAGTTTTTTTATTTTTATTTTTATTTTTTATTTTTTGGCTTTAACCTATGCTTTAAATCACAGCCCATCCTTGTTAGAAAATCATAAGAACCTTGGTTCACAATTGATGATCTTCAAGCACCAAGCTCTTCATCATTTATCTGCTTGCGACTATCTCTTGTAGGACAAAAGTGGCTAAAATTTATAGTTTTTAAAAGCTCATTGCAAGTGCTACTTAATGATGAATGTATACAATTACGGCAGCACTTGGCTTGATTGTAGAATAGGCCCTTGTTTAGCCCATTTCTGGAATATATTCAGAATTCTTTCATCTTATCCTCATCTTATTACCATTCTATGGCATGACATATTCTTTGACTTTCTTTTGTATCCAAACTGGAGTAAAAAGTTGGTTTCCGAAACTCAACTGAACAAGCTGACCTGTTCTTGTACTTGAAATGAGGTACGTATTCTTGCTTTAAATTCAATTTTTCAATCCGGCTAGGTTGGGGTCTCCGAATGGTAAAAACTTGATCATGGGTGCCAACATCTAAATAATTCATGAGATCTAAAATTCTTGTAATGCATATAAAAACAGATCAGCTCTCAAACAAATTCCAGAATTTTTTTTTTGTGCTCTGCAATTACACCCGTATTATACGCCTAGGGAAATATTTTTGCTGTTTTGACGTTCTACGCTATAGGTTTCCAGAGTATTTTGAGTTCGCATCATATTTTTGGTTTTTGCAGGTGTTTCTCAATATGCTAGTAAAAGTCACTCGACTTGATTTACCACTTTGGCATCAGATACTTGTCCTTGAAGTTCTGAGGGTAGTGACGTCCAATGTTGTCTTGCAATGTTTTTAGTTTAAACTTTAAACTAATAAAATTATTATCAGTTGTTAATGCTGTTTCGTTAGCAGGGATTTTGTGTAGAAGTACGGACACTGCGCCTACTTTTTAAGAACTTCGATATGTAAGTTTGAAGATTTAACTTTCCCTTCTTAGATGTACAGTATAATTACTGTGAATTATGTGTAGTTCTTAGTTTTTTTTTTAATAAAATTTTTATGCTGTTTTATGAGATGCTTCGGTCTGTGATCATCAAGCTAAATCGTCTCAAATAGATTGTTATTTAAGTGCATTACATATTGTGTTTATTGTAATACATTACATTTTTTTAGAAATTTTTCTGACGGATTTTTTTGTTGTCTTCACTGTTTTTCATATTGGTAGTTATAAAATTTGTTAAAGTAGGAAACATTACTTTGTTTTATATATCTCCCATGAATTCTTGCTTATGCCGTAGTTATACTTATGAGAATGAACAGCATTGCATGCAACAAGAGATACAATACACATACTTTGATAGTTTAAAGTATGGAAATAAGTTCTAGAACCCGTCACCTTCAGTTCAAAATGGAGATCTAGAAAACCAAGTGCATACACGGTACATCAGAGGCATTTCCTTTAAAATACAGAAATAAACACGCCTCAATCAAAATTTATGCATGCATGTTATATTAAAACTTGCAAATTTATGCTGCTCTTGGAAAAAAAATTCAATCGTAAGTATAATTTATAGAATTGTCATAGGTGGTGTGCATAGATTGCAACGAACATCATGATATTTCAGGTGAAGCACCCACAAACTTTTTAAAAAATATACTTTGTGCATCTCGAAGTGTAAAATCATATAAGTATACTAAAGCAAATAGTAAGATGTTTGGCATACAAACCTTAGATCTAGAGAGTATTCAATTAGCCACAAATGATCTACTTTGTTTTAATCATTTATCTGTAATAATTGAATCACCCATCATATATTCCTATTTATATTAGTAGGGTTAAAAATATGGCCAAATATGTAAGTGCAAATCTATTCCTATCCAAACAAACATCCAATTTTAAACCTATTCTTTTCCAAAATAAGTTAAAAATCTAATAAAATAATTAAGAGAAATTTGGCTATAAATAGAAACGGGCCAAAAAATTGAAAATAGCCTCACTTTAGATCTATTACCACTCAATTTGTCTTCTTGTAATAAACTTCGGATCTCGAGCTTCTTTGATTGATTTGATCTATTTGAAATCCTTATAGTGCATCATATTGCTATATACTAATAAGCCTATGTATAAAGGGTGTTGGACCTTGTTAGTTGCTTGGAAGCATTAGCAATGAATGCTTTCGACGAAGATGAATCATATAGTATTAAGCAAGATGAGCAAAGTCGACATTACTATTTTAGATCGTATAAATTGGTTAAGAACTAGTTTTATTCATTGTTGACCTCAATACCAACTCCGGGATGGAGTCAACCTTGCATGATGAAAATTATTAGCTAAATATGTGATGTTGCATGAAAGTAATCCAACATGCGTCAATTAATAGTCAAAATTCACTGAAATGACGTTTGTTCAGGAAACAGACTGTGTTGATACATTCTGGATAACTAAAACAACTAAGATTGACACCCATATCGATCGGAACTTTCGATAAAAAAAATAATAATAAAAATTTTGCACGTGCTTAACTAGGATGAATTTGATGGGCATAAGTGAGGAAATCTCAACAATTAAAGTAACGTGCATATTTATCTATTAAAATTTAAATTTGTTTTTAAAAAACTACTATTATATATATATATATAGTCGCACAACTCTCCCTTACGTAAAGGCTGTGCGCCCCCGTCCCTCTCTCACCAACTTGTACGACTCCACAATGACCCCTCTCCCTCAACTCACCCCCTTGCGCACTTGTCATCCCTAGGCCAACCTGTCGCCACCTCTAACCACGTTAGTTGCTGTCGTCTCTATTCTCTTCTCTCTCACTCTCTCTCTCTCTCTTATTCTCTCTCCTACTTCACCTTCTTCACCTTCTTCATCTTGTTCTCCTTCCTCCTCCTCCTCCTTCCATTCTTCTTCTTCCTCCAAATCTCCCTTCAAACTCACTTTCTTGCTCCAACCTTTCTCTCCCTCTATCTTCTTCTCTCCTTTCTCTCTCTAAAATCAGAGAATTATTTTCTTTCTCTAGTTCGCTCTCCAATCCACTCTCTCACTTCCACTCCCTTTATATATATACAAACAATAATTTTCTCACTTTCCTTCTTTTTCTCTCTCTGGAAAGAGAGAAAACCCTTTTCCCTCTAAAACAGAAAATTGCAAAAAAGGACAAAAAAGTAAAATATAAATATAAAAAAATTGTGCACTTGTTTGCAAATCATCGTCTCAACTGCCACTGCTTTGTTTCGTATGCGTAGGTATAACTCTCAAAAACTCACAAAACCCCTGAAACCCATCAAGGACATGTTTGGAGCATTGAGTGGAGCCATGTATGCGCTCTTTGTAGTGTGGCACAAGGAAACTTGTTGGTGACATTCCCGACGCTGCGGTTGGATCCTGCTAGCGACATATTTGGCGCGACCAGTGGAACCTTGCACATGTTTTTTGTAGCGTAGTGGGAGGTAGCTTGTCGGTGACATTTGCGACAAAACAAATGGACCCTATTAGTGACGTGCTTGATGTTGTGAGTGGAGCCCCATATATGTTTTTCTTAGCATGGTGAATTAATCTCGTCAGCGGCTTGCGCGACTTGATCAGGTGCTTTACTTAACATATTTTCTCGTGCACATACACCATTCATGTCTTCCTTAGTGTGGTTGGAAATTTTAGGAATCCTGCTAGTAGTATCGCAAGACACTAATCATGCATGCCTTTCTTGGTGTTGGTTAGGCCTAGACTCCCCATATATTCTTTTTACAAGGGGGAGATGCCAGGAAGCCTCCGAAATTTTGATTGAATTTAACCTAAAAAATGTTCTATAGGAAACCCAAGAGTTGCAAAAATATAACTGATATAAGCAACAAATATTTATAATTAAATGTCCAAAGTGCAAAATAAATGACATTAAAAGAAGAAATTGAGAATGATGAACTCCAAATACGAGACTTACAGAAAGATTTAAAACTTAAAGCTTCGCTACGAGTGCGAATAGAATCCCATGACTGTACTTAGAACTTTGATTACCTAAACTATTAAACTCAAGGAAACCCTTGGGATGAGAGAAATGAGCATCCAGTTTTTTCCCATATTTATAACGAGGGAAAAACCCTTTTGTGGGGTCCAGAATATTTAACATGAATGATATTTTAGTAATAAGAAAGGTACGCACGCAAAAAAATTGTTACCCCAAAAAGTATACATGTGAAAATGTGACTATATACTCATTCCGTTTTGCCACCGAATTTGCAACAACTTTTTGTGGAAGTGGATAGAAGGTGATTGCTAAAGATTCCTAATATTACAAAATATAGATACAAAAGTAAGTCAAATTAAAGTTCTCTTTTTATAATTAAGTACATGCATGTGCTTTGATCTATATGCCAGACTCCTAAATTTAAGGTTCAAGAATGCATCACGAATTGAAATCGAATGCCTCCCAACAAATATAGTGTGTACCTAAAGCTAACCATGTTTATCGCAAATAGTTTATCATGTGGGTTTCCAAGAATGTTCTAAAAACAAATCCATGAAGTCAGACTTTAAATTCAACATATGTTAATGCCGATATTTTTTATAATACATTCTTATTGTAGACATTTAATTGGTTTTTGCTTATTTGTCAGGGATGCCAACAATACAAATGTTGTGGAGAATATTGTTAAAGCACTTGCTCGAGTTGTATCAACCATTCAGCTGGTATTATGTGATACTTTTAGTGGTTTAATTAACTATCTTTTTGTTTACCTTTATGTTTATGCTTTTTTTTTCAACGTTTGAAAACATGTCCTATTAGTTTTTAGGTTTGTAGTTTGTCAAATCCCCAGCATATTGTGGTCTAAACTTGCCTTTTATAATTTATTACGTTGTCATGCGTGTTGTATTACTTCAAAAGTCTGATTTAGCTTTTGGATTGCAGGACTGACTAATAGTAAAATATACTTGAAAATTTAAACACTGTTCTTCTGATATAATGAACTGATCCATTTAAACCTCCACTTGGGACAATTTAACAATTAGTTCTTTGTCTTATTTGTAATGTTGTAATTGTCCAGTCTGAGGCACGATGGTATCAAGATTTATATGCATGATAGAAAATAAAAAAAAAAGGGTGTAATTTAGTGTCTGAAGCTTCCGCTTTTACCCTGCCTTGCAAGGGGAAGGGCTGATGTACACTCCTGTATTGAGGACATATATTTCTGTCTCGGATCTAGGACCTCAGTTTAGGCTACTAACTATTGCTCTTGACTAGTCCTCCCTGAAAGACAAAGTATTCCCAGGGATCCATTAGTATGCAAAAGAACTGTACAATAATAAAACATAAATAAAGCATGGATTTTTATAATAGGTTTTCTTGTTTGATGCTTGCAATAGGCTAGATGAAATATACAGTATCCATATAAGCAAACATCAGACAAATATTGGGTGCAGATACCAATATTTTAATAGCTTCAAGGCATAGGAAACTGTATCTCTAGAAGCATAAAAGCTGCAAGAGAAGTATTCCAAATCCTCATGCTTCGTTAATGTTGACCCCAATACTAGTGTCGGGTTCGAGTAGACCGCGCAAGGTGAATTTCGAAATAAAAAAAGCATGAAATCGCGCATAATTCACCCGACGTGTGTTGACCCAAAACCAAAAAATCACCGAAACGACCTCCGTTCGCGAAACGGACAGCATCGATGCGTCCGGAGCAACGGAAACAGCTAAGATCGACACCCATATTGGTGGGGGTCGATGGTCGGCGAAAATTTTAATTTTTGGGCACGCGAATCGAGACGACGACGTGTGCGAGCGGCGAAGCGACAACCAACTTGATGCAAGATTAAAAATTTATTTTTATTTTTGTGCAATAAAATTAAAAATTTTTTGAAAAGAGGGAGAGAAATGGAGCTTCTTAAATAAGAAAATGATTTTTCTAAATAAAAAATTCCAAAAATCCCTAAAACACCCCTCACTTAACCCTCACTCCCTCATATTCTCTCCTAGCCGTCCCTCTCTCCCCACTCACGACATTCTCACGCCCAAACTCACGCAAGAAGGCCGGCTTCCCTCTTCTCCTCCTCCAAGCAAGGTAATTTCTCCTCCTCTTCCTCTCTTCTTCTTCTTCTTCTTCTTCCTCCATTTTCTTCTTTTCTTCTTCTTCTTCCTTCCCTCTTCTTCCCCTTCTCTATTTTTCATCTTCCCTCCAAGTTTCCCACCATTTTCTTCTATTTTCTTCCTCTACTCCCTTCTCCTTCCTCTCCTTCATCTTCTTATTCCTCCTCCAACCTCTCTTTCTTAAAACCTACAAAACCGTAAACCCTATTTTTTTTCCTCACTTCCACTCACCAAACCACCTACATCCCTTCACAAAAAATGTTCCTACACACCTCCTACACCCTTCTAACAAAAAAATTTCATCCTTCATTTTCTCTCCCTAACCTAGAGAGAGAAAATTCTCTCTCTAGAATGAGAGTGAAATTCCTTCATGTACGGCTCTATTTCCATCCTAAGCGTCTCCCCTTCCCACCATACCTCCAAATACCTTGCCTAGAGAGAAACAAATTTCCCTCCTCTTTCTCTCTCCAAAAATGAGAGAGAGAGATTTTTCTCTCTCTAACCCCACTCCCCTAATCTCCTACACACTCTAAGCCCACTCCTCCAGAAAAACCCCATAAAATCCTCTCTTTCCCTCTCTCTCTAGAAAGAGAGCTCTCTTCCTTTCTTTCTCTCTCTACACTTTATTTTAAATAAAAGAAAAGCATAAATGATTAATTTTATTGCACAAATAATAATAAAAAAATTTGAAATTGTGCATCGCAGGTTCCTACGTTGCCGTCATCTGCCGTCGCCGCCTCGATTGCTGCACACCCAAGGTAAAAACTAGTATTTACATTTCTATGCATGAAATAAGTACTCGTGACCGCTTTTCTTAGCGGGCGAGGAAAACTTAAGTACCCGTGACGCACTGAGCGAGCGGGGAAATTTGTATGCATGAAAATATAAGTACCCATGACTGCTTTTATTAGCAGGCAGGGAAATTTGTTATTTGTAAAAAAATTATTTAATTAAGTACCCGTCACTGCTTTTAGGCGGGGAAAATGTCATACTTTAAATCTGTGCTCAAGGACCCCGTGACTGCTTTTTTTAGCGAGCGGGGATTGAAACTGCGGCCGCGGTGTCACCCGACACCTACCGTGACTGCCTTTCTTGGCAGGCGGGAAGGCCTTATACACTCCGAGGCAGCCCCCTACGCGGGGACGACGTCGGAGTGCTGCCAAATTTTTTAGCAAAAACTATAACTTAGAAAATTTAAAAAAGATTTAAAATTCACTTAAATGTTTTAAGTTAACCAAAAATAAAATATACGACACCCTAGGCTCCCTACAGAAATTTTCTAAGTTATAGGTTTTTGCTGAAAATTTTGGCAGCACTCCGGCGTCGTCCTCGTGTAGGGGGCTGCCTCGGAGTGTGTAAGGCCTTCCCGCCTGCCAAGAAAGGCAGTCACTGTAGGTGTCAGGGACACCGTGGCTGCAGTTCCAATCCCCGCTCGCTAAAAAAAGCGGTCACGGGGTCCTTGAGCACAGATTTAAAGTATGATATTTTCCCTGCTTAAAAACAGTGACGGGTATTTAATTAAATAATAATTTTTACAAATAACAAATTTTTTCGTCTGCTAAGAAAAGCAGTCACGGGTACTTATATTTTCATGCATACAAATTTCTCCGCTCGCTCAGTGCGTCACAGGTACTTAAGTTTTCCTCGCCCGCTAAGAACACGAGTACTTATTTCATGCATAGAAATGTAAATACTAGTTTTTACCTTGGGTGTGCTGCAATCGAGGCGGTGATGGCGGATGACGGCAACGTAGGAACCTGCGATGCACAATTTCAATTTTTTTTTATTATTTGTGCAATAAAATTAATCATTTATGCTTTTTTTATTTAAAACAAAGTGTAGAGAGAGAAAGAAAGGAAGAGAGCTTTCTTTCTAGAGAGAGAAAGAGAGGGAAAGAGAGGGAAAGAAAGGATTTTATGGGTTTTTCTGGTGGAGTGGGCTTAGAGTGTGTAGGAGATTAGGGGAGTGGGGTTAGAGAGAAAAATCTCTCTCTTTCAGTTTTGGAGAGAGAAAGAGAGGAGGGAAAATTGTTTCTCTCTAGGCAAGGTATTTGGAGGTATGGTGGGAAGGGGAGACGCTTATGATGGAAATAGATCCGGACATGAAGGAATTTCACTCTAATTATAGAGAGAAAATTTTCTCTCTCTAGGTTAGAGAGAGAAAATGAAGGATGAAAATTTTTTTTGTTGGAAGGGTGTAGGAGGTGTGTAGGAACATTTTTTGTGAAGGGATGTAGGTGGTTTGGTGAGTGGAAGTGAGGAAAAAAAAATAGGGTTTAGGGTTTTGTAGGTTTTAAGAAAAAGAGGTTGGAGGAAGAAGAAGTTGAAGGAGAGGAAGGAGAACAGAGTAGAGGAAGAAAATAGAAGAAAATGGTGGGAAACCTGGAGGGAAGATGAGGGAAGATGAAAAATAGAGAAGGGGAAGAAGAGAAGGAAGAAGAAGAAGAAGAGGAAAAGAAGAAAATGGAGGAAGAAGAAGAAAAGAGGAAGAAGAAGTAGAAGAGAGGAAGAGGAGGAGAAATTACCTTGCTTGGAGGAGGAGAAGAGGGAGGCCGGCCTTCTTGCATGAGTTTGGGCGTGAGAATGTCGTGAGTGGGGCGGCTATGAGAGAATATGATGGAGCGAGGGTTAAGTGAGAGGTATTTTAGGGATTTTTAGAATTTTTTATTTAGAAAAATCATTTTCTTATTTAAGAAGCTCCATTTCTCTCCCTCTTTTCAAAATTTTTTTAATTTTATTGCACAAAAATAAAAACAAATTTTTAATCTTGCATCAAGTTGGTAGTCGCACAAGTCGTCGTCTCGATTCGCGCGCCCAAAAATTAAATTTTTTGCCGACCATCGACCCCCACCAATATGGATGTCGATCTTAGCTGTTTCCGTTGCTCCGGTCGCATCGGCGCTGTCCGTTTCGGGAACGGAGGTCGTTTCGGCAATTTTTTGGTTTTGGGTCGACACACGTCGGGTGAATTATGCGCGATTTCATGCTTTTTTGATTTCGAAATTCACCTTGCGCGGTCAACTTGAACCCGACACTAGTATTGGGGTCAACAAATGCCCCCCAACAAATATGGTGCGCGCCTAAAGCGGACCATGTTTGTTGTAAATAGTTGACATTGCGAATCTCCAAAAATTTTCTTCTCTTTTTTTTTGGATGTCAACGCTAGATAGGAGCGAAGCATATAAAGTATTTTTATTCTCCATTCCTCTTATCAGCTTGCATGCTTTCTTATGATTCTTTTATCTTTTGTCAGGAAAGATGTTCAACTAGAGTAGACCGGAGGGAATGCCGCGAAATGAGCCTAGTGAAGAGGCCATTTGGGAATTGATTGATAAGCACGATCCTCGCGGAACTGCTAATATGGCTGATTGATTGGAGCAACACGAGGAGATGCTGAGGGACCGTAGTATTTATGGTGAATTCTTCGTACGCTCGCCTCTTCTGCCACGCTCTGAGCTTAATCCCTCAGTATATGAAGATCCTGCTGAGTGGGTGACCACTACCAGGTTGAAATATGGGGACTACAACCCCTTGGAGATTACCATTACTCAGGTTGAAATATTCCGTCACATCCCACGATTCCCGACATAAGGAATATAGACATGCGCGACCAAAGCATGCAATTCCTACGTGAAGTGATTGCCAGACTGAACCCAGGCTCGCCCGAATCATTGGATCAATTTACGAACATTGCCAACGCTACCTTCAATGTTTTATCACATATTAGAATGGAAGAAGATGAAATGATGTTCTGGGAAGGGTTGTGCCGTGAGGTTGAGTTTTATGTCCGACGATTGAAGTCTCTGTCAATCATACAAACCAGGGTCTCATTACATGATCTTCGCGAGAAGGTTAGAATTTGCCGAGAAATTG